CACACACACACACACACACACACACACACACACACACACACACACACGTGGAGCCCCACAAAAGTATTTCAAGTGCAGTTTTTAAATGAAAGCAAGGGAAACAGTGAAGTAGTTGTTAATATTGGCATTTCTGCAAACCTCATTCAAGGCGACGATACACAGAGTGTTGATGTTTGATCGAAGACAATCAACAGAAGGGGACAAACGCAATCAGACCGAAATGTTTCTCCGCCGTGTTTCCAGCCTAAMGTTTTAATTGAATCAGTCTCCGATGAAAACGTTAAATATTTGCAAGGCAAAAATACAAGCTAATGCTGAAAATACCCGCTCTGTCAACACRAGCAAAACAAGTCCTGAGAAATAAGCAGGATGCCTCAGGATAAACAAAAAATGTAATCGTTGACATTACATGTTTTGATCACCTTATTCAGAAAGCATCAAATGCCAAACTATGAATCATTACCAGTTTTGGCAGATAAACATTCTCATTATTGTTTTTTTTAATGACCCAGTTTTGTATTTAAAAAAGCAATCAATTCAAATGGCAAATTCAACAAACATCTGAGTTACATAACACATGAGAACAATAAACGAGTAAATTTTTACAAGCAGATGAAGRTACAGAAAGGCCAAAGCTTGCTTTGCAGGAAAATAGACAAGCAGCTCTGAAACCATTTGGGCCACGGCGTACGCCCCCACGAACACAACAACACCTACAAGGGAAAGCCTGTGAAGAAAGCCTTTCCAACATATCTCTAACGCACATGTGTGGGTGCAAATCTTGCATGATGCTGCAAAGCTGATGACTAGCCTTGGGACAAGATTCATGCTTATGGCTTCTTTTTTTTTTTTTTTCATTTCAAACACTTTCCAAATGTGTTTTTTAATCCTTTCCTAAATACAAAAGAGGGATTTAAAGAAAAAAAATAACAGTGTCCAACGGGGAGCTTACATCCATCCACATCTGCTGCCTCCATCAACCCACCTTTTATAAAAGTGAACCCCGAACAATTTGATTCTGTTATGCAATGAATGAATTAAAGGCCTGGCTTTCCTTGAATGAATGCAAATCGCCCGCCGCCTTTTAGACAGCATTTTAAACTAAGATTATCTTATGTTGAGAAATGACAGCRTTGCAGCCATTTTAGTCAAACCTTGAAAATAACATTGCAATAATATCATGCCATAGCATGACATGCTGTGCTCAGATGACTCTCAGTCACTACCATACCAAATTCTAGCTCAATATCTATGAAATTGACTGTTTTTTGTGTTGCTTACAGCCAAGTCTTCAATTGGATTGATTCCAAAAGTTAATCTTGTCTAAATATACATACAATAATTACTTTGTGAAAGTTTCCTTAAAATCCATTYAGTGATTTTTGATTTATTTTGCAAACAGACCAAAAAAATTGTTGACAACAGCAGTTTATGCCAAATTTTCATGCCAAAATATTGCACACGTGTGTTGTGCTTTGAGTATGTGTTGTGGACAGTGTTCAGCTACTGCCACACCAASTTTTTTTGTTCAATTTCCCTAAAATTAACTGACAGAGTAAATTAAGTGATGGCTAAGGTTGATTAGCCGCAGCGACCATCTTGAATTGGACTGACTCAAAAAGCTAAAGAGTTGTAACTGTAAGCCCACTGATTGCTTCCTGAGAGTTTCATTAATATCCTTCCAGTGGTTTGTGATACATTTTGCTAACAGACAGACCGAGTTGGCACTGACAGGAGCGAAAACATTATCACCTTCAGCTGCATGCGATAATGAAWGAAYGACTGAATGAAKGCGTGGAAGTCAGTCAGAGCTGTGAGCTCTTACAGGGAAGGAGGTGGAGGGTTGAGAGCTTGCGCTGAGGAGGTGGCTGCTGGGAAGCAAGGCTAATTCACTGTGACAGAAATCAGAGCTGTCAGGRCCACCATGACCAAGCAGCATGGGCAGCATATATCCACAGCCGTGGGAAAAGAGGGATGCTGGTGACCCAGAAAGAGGAAAGGGGGGGTGCAAATCGGGAAGAGTACATACAGTAGGWATGTGTGTGTGTGCATGTTTTTGCTACCTGGTGGGGACAATTTTTGACCATTTTCCTGGTACACACAGCTTGGTGAGGACCCACTGTTTTATACGGGGGCAAAAGCCTATTGAGASAGATACTATTGRTGGGTCAGAGGTTCGGTTTAGGACYAACAAGTGAATTGAGTTTATGCTAGGTTTAGGGTAAGAGTTCASSGTTAGGCYATAGAAAAGATCAGTAAATGAATGAAAGTCAATCCCCATGAAGACAGAACAGACATATGTTGTGTGTGTGGGGTTGTAGGATCTGTCGAATCAAAACAACTAGAACAACAAAAAGGTTATAGAGTAAGTGGAAATAAAACCCAGAGTTCCAGACAGTCTGTAGGATAAAAAGGGACTGCTTCAGTCATAAATATGAGTGCATTTGCAGGAAAAAGTAAACCAACACTCAGAATCCCACACTGTAATTCTCTGTCTCCTGTGACGATTGAACAGTTACCGGATTCACATAGAAAATTCATGAAGAAACCTCCTGGGTTCCTCTAATCTGTTCGAAGGGAAACACTAAAATTTTAATGGAAGGGAAAACGGGCAGAATATTGTTTATAAATGTGGTGAAGGGGAAAAGCAGAAGAGAGAAAGTGAGACGGGGGAGAACGAGCGAGCGAGAGAGTGAGAAGGGCAGCTGCTGGCTTCATTACTTAATGATGAGAGAGGGAGACACAAGGCAGGTTTTTAAATGACAGAGGGGAAGGAGGAGGGATTGTGGGAGATTAAGTGAGCTCAATGCTGTTTGTAATACACTGCAAAGCACCACAGGACGTTTGTCGAGCAACGCGCTCATTTGGGATGAAGAGAAAGCTGGCAGGGGGACCTTAAACTTGGCCACAGGAGGAAGGCAAGAGAAATGTATTATCCCTTGAGCGTTGTGGCTGGAGCATCCAGGAGGAAGATAAGGATTAAGGCTGCGGTGTGATGCCTGTTTGTTGATGGGACACAACTTTAAAAGAAGAAGGCAGAAAAAAAGCTGGAAAGTTGTGGGGKTTTTTTTTGCTAAGCAGTTTATTTTGGGCTTGTGTTCTTATTTTACCCTTCTTTCATTTTTTGGAGAGGAGAATGGGATTAACTGAGTGAGCTTTAAAGGTTCGCTTCCCTGGAAGAGTTATGAACTTTTTACCCTTCGCTTTCATTTGGACTTTACGAGTCTGTGGAGGAAATCAGTTTGAGCTAATTCGCTTCAACTCACCTGGCGGCGACTAAGGAAACATCTTCCCAAGGTGAAGCATTCTCCTCTTTAACACGTAAACACTACATTTCTATGATGCTTTAATGAAACGTTTCATGATCGATCGACACACGTCAGAAAAAAAAGACTGGCTTTGTCTTTTACTTGTCAGAAATTTGCTGAATCTTGTAAACTCATTAAAGGCATGGGCTCATTTTCATGACTACAACAAAGTGTAATCTGTATACTGAAAACAGACAACAAAATAATGTTTGGCACTTTGAAATAATTGCTGCACATAGCTCTGTATAAAGTAGCCTTAGGTGATTAGTTTTCATTTAAAAAACTATTATAAGTATTCCTGTGAACATCTTTTTATTACTTCACCTCGGCTGAACAGTTCAGAGCTTTGGCAACTTTGAAAAAAGGAAATGCTGTCTAATTTTTTTGCTTGATTTTTATCTAACCAGGGCAGACCTTGAGAGGATTAGAGAATGAAGGATCAAACATCCAGAACCATGACCCTTCTTGCACCACACCTGGGACTTTTGCTCCTGCTGCTCCGTTCCCTCCACGGCTCGGAGCAGACCTGCCCACATATGTGCCTCTGTTTATCCGACACAATAAGCTGCAGCTCCAGGGGTCTGGCTAAGCCGCCACACTCCCTGCCTTCCCTCCTTATCAGCCTTGACCTCAACCAAAACAATCTCTCCTTGTTGGGTCCCAGCAGCTTTAACGAGATGCCTAGGCTGGAAAACCTCTGGATAGCCCATAATCTGATCCGCACTTTGGAACACGGCACATTCCGCACCGTCTCTGGGCTCAGGCTACTCGACCTCTCCTCCAACCGRCTCTGCGTGGTGCAGCAGCACACCTTCCAGGGGCTGCGGCAGCTACAGGAGCTCCGTCTCTTCAACAATCAGATCGCGCAGGTGGAGGCTGGCGCGCTCAGCGGCCTGAGCAGCCTGGAGAGGGTCTACTTCAGCCTCAACCGGCTCACGCACTTCCCATTCTTCGCCATCCAAGATGGCAGCCACCCGCTCTTGGCCCTGCTCGACCTCTCGTCCAACCGCCTGGCGCATCTCCGGCGGGAGGACGTGGAAGCCTTGCCGCCCGGCCTGGTGCAGCGGGGGCTGTTTCTCCACAACAACTCTCTGTTCTGCGACTGCTCCGTGTACGGCCTGTTCTGGCGCTGGAACCGGAGGAATTACAGCTCGGTGAGGGACTTTCTAGACGAGTACACCTGCAACGTCGACGGGGATCCGAGAGTGTCCGTCCGTTTCCTCCGTCACAACCATTCCTTCCTTAGCTGCTCCGTAGACGAGGCGGTCATGCAGCCTGCGATGGCGCTCCGCTTTGCCATGGTTGTTTTCGAAGGAGACAGAGTGCTTCTAGACTGCCAAACATCTCTGGGCGGCACAAACCTCTCATTTACGTGGCTCTCCCCGAACAAGGGACTCATCACTCAGACCGGCATAAACGACACACTCATTAGCGTCTTCACTAATGGCACCTTAGAGGTGCGAGCAGCCACAGTCAGTGACTCAGGTCTGTACCTGTGTACTGCTGTGGATGCTGGGAAAGCGCTGAATGCAACCYGGGCGGTGAACGTGACCGTGCGGTCGCATGCAGCACAGCCTTTCCACACGGGTTACACAACACTGCTGGCCTGCGTCGTGACGTTACTGCTCGTCCTCGTGTACCTCTTCCTGACTCCGTGTCGCTGCAGCTTCAGCAGCTGGCCCACAGCAGCCTGCACTCATGGCATCATCTCRTCTGTTTTCTTACCCTCTGGAAGGGATCAACTGAAAACTGAAGCATTTTAACAGATAGGGTGTTCATAGAGTCTGGGATTATGAATGGATACCTGAAAGCTGATGACGAACAAATTTGTTTTTTTTTTCTTTTTAAAGCACCTTTTGTATGAACAAAAACAGCTTTCTAAAAAAGTGGTGAGATGTTATCAAGTGTTAATGCTGCAAAGAAAAAAATATAAAAGGAGGCTCCTGCTTCTTTTTGAACTACCTGCCACAGCTAAAAGACACTCAGAACAAAAAAAAAGAAAAAGCAATCTTTTGTTCCAATTCTTTTCTTTTCTGACTCATGACCAGGTAGTCGATTTAAAACCTTCAACTGTGCTTTATTCCCCTCACTGTAGARCTATTATCAGTCCGAGAAATCAGCTAATAACTTCTTTTTTGTAACCCAGTCACAGGCCTAGGAGGTACGTTTCTTGAGGGATTAGAATGAATGGGGTTCACTTCACACATAATGTGGATTAAAGCGAAAACGCGAATGACTCCGGTTGAAGTGAAGCTCGGGGAGGAAAATTTATAACCGCTGTAGAACCGATGTGACAGAGATGCATCAGCTGCAGTTAAAGTGTGCAGGCAGCATCTGTTGTGACACTCCATCCTGAAAAACCGCCTCATTTGGCTGATAAAGGATTCAGTTTTACAATAACATCTACTTTTGTAAATCGGGGCGTCTGTTTTATTATTATTATTATTATCCAAATGTTTCAGTATGGATGCTATAGCTTTCAGCGAGTATTAAAAATAAAATCTTATCTATCAGAAAACAGC